AGGCCTGTCTGTCTGTCCGTCCTTCTTCCTTCCTTCCAGCGCTCTGTAATTACAGTCAGCGCGGCGGGCATGCGTGTCTCAGGTGTCTCCTGTTCACCGGCGGATAACGCTTCTTACAAACGAGCCTGATAAATATTAAATCGAGACAGGTTTCCGCTTCCCTCCGCGCTGTCAAGTGCGCGAAGGCGTTGGAGATGGTCAGGGACACCAGCTCTTAATTAGACTGTAGCCTGGCGAGCTCTCCTACCCTTTCTACAGACGTCCCTCGCAGCGGCCTTGGCTTCGCACTGGGTGTTTTTATGCACTGCACCTTCACTGTTTCTGGTGCCTTTCCAGGGCTTGTTATTCCGAGGGTGTATTTTCTTACAGATGTCCTCTGACTCTGTTATTTTGTTGTCTTCTGTTTCAGAAAGACTCGTACTGTTTAATTTCGATTGAAACACAAGGGTGGAAAGTCAAGCAATATGAAAACTCCCCCCCCCCAACCCCTAGCCAAAAAAAGTTACGCAAATGAAATCAGTAAGGCAGGCAAGATAGCATGGGTAGAAATATTTCTCATTAACTATTACCAGCCTTCTAGTAACTCGCACTATCAGGTCAGTAGATCTGCGCAAATTTAATTACTCATCTTTCTGAGGGCGAGTGGACACCACAGACTTTGGCATTTTGGGTCATAAGCTCTCGTAAGGATACCTGAGTCTGACAGATTAAAAGATCCCAGAGTGAATAGTCTGCTCTCCCTGTTACTTTTTGCTTCTCTTCTTCCTCTCCTTGATGAAACTTTATGTTATTGCATCACCTAATATTAGTTGTGTGAGCTCTCCTAGCTCACCTGCAGGTGTCCTGGCACACCTCATCCTTAATTGTAGTTTATTTGTTTTGGCATTTTGGTTGTGGACTGAAATGCCATTGTGCTAGGTATTGTACCAACACCGCCAAGATATGCCCTGCGCTCACTCTGTTTCTGGCCAAAGGGTGAGATAAGAGAGTGGGTGTAAAGAGGGTAAACACGGAGCAGCAGTTTCAGATGCTGACTTCCTGACAAGGTGAGGTTTGTGTGGGTGCCATAAAGCCAACAAAAATTCCAAGAGGCCGTCTAAAAGTAAAAGGAAGTTGCTTCACACTGTTCACCGAGTACCTTAAAAGCATTAGCTAGTGTGGCGAAAGCACAAGGGTGACTGGCCTTCATGTCTAATAGTTGCTGGAACAGAAGCCAAAGTAAATACTGCCATGGCATGAGGTTAAGACAAATGCCGAGTCTTTCAAGACCCATATAACGTGTTGGAGAGGGACGAGCCTGGGCAAGAAAATGAGGTGGCAACCTGACCAAAGCTGTGGACTAGAAGAATGATCTTTGTAACAACTTCTTGAATTGGAAAAGAAGATCAAATTTGTAAAGGACAGTGAAAAGTGCAAAGCCTCAAACAGGAGACACTGTAACATTGGAGCTATAAAGTGAGTCTAGCTCTAGTTCTAGACAATTCTAGAATAGATCTGCATTGCAACAGTTTTGGAAAGATAAATAAAATTTACTGGTGCTGAACTTTCTGCTTGCAGCTGGGAGAGTTGGCTTTTATTGATGTTGTGCATGTAAAAATTAAAAGGACAAATGCTAGTGATGACTAAGACCTGCATCCAGGTTTGTTGATTACGTAATAACCAAAGCAACAGCTGACGTATTATTTCATTTAATAATTTAGGACTCTGAACCACATTACTAAGGGAAACTGGATTCATCGTTCCTTAATGAATCCGTACTGTCTTGAACTGCTGCATTTTTCTGAAACTTTGTACCAGTACCAGCTATGCGGAGCTGCTTACTGTAGGTAGTGTAAGTGGAGTGTAGGATGGGTGTGCAGGAAATTAAAGCCTGCTTTTTAAACTTTAGCTATTAACTGCAAATTTTTTTCTAAGTTAAAACATGTTTGAAGCATTTCAGTTAAATAAGCCAAAATCAGGCTAAGAGACGCAGAGGAGCTCGTAGGAGAGGCTCATGCTGCTCACTGTTATTAATCACAGTAATATTTGTGATGCTGTGTTGCAAGAAATAGTGCTCTTCAGCACTGTGACTAAACATGAAAAATGGCATCATTGTACGATGCCAATAAAGGAGCGGGAAATGTTCATAAAAGGTTGATTCTGTGGTGCTCTTTGCTCCAAAAAATACAGAACTGAGTTGCAGTAAGTGGCGTCTGCTTTTATAGCGGCAGCAAGGAGTGCTCCCAGTGCTTAGGTTGTTTCACTGTTTTCAGCATTCGTATTTTTTTAGCTTTACTGTTCTGCTCCTGCTTTGTTCCCAAGGCAGCGGATACGCAGCGGAGAGAGTGTTCTGGGCCCCGGATAGTTAATTTTGTCCTTCTACATGAAAATGTAATTCTGCATGAAAACGTAATGCTGTTTCAGCTGAATTACCCCACTGAAAACTTGCCACTTGGTTCTGCTCTGCTCCTCCAGGAAAACGCCCAAAACGTGCCACGGTAGCTAAAGAAACGCTAGGGGAAGCTGAAATGACTTGCAGTTTTGAGAAGCGGTGGTACGAGGGCTAGGAGAGACGATGAATGTGTGCGCTCCCTCTCCACATGGTAGAGCTCAGCATGTGATCTTTACCTTCCCTCCCTCTTCTCTGTGGGCACGAGAAAAATCTGTTGCCTGGAATGAAGGAAGCCGTTTCGCTCCCCACGGCCCCCTCCTGCCCCTCTCTACCCTGCCCACTGGCTTTCCCAGCTAACCGAGCCCGTTTGTGTTGCAAAGCTGATTTATGTAATCTAGTGTAAGAGATGGGAATGGTGATGCTGCACTTGCAACGATTAAGGGATGTCTTAAAACTATGTGATAAACTGTGTATTTTTATTAGTAATTTTGAATTGTGATCTGTGGAGACCATTACGTTTGCATAGGCAAGAAGTCGAAAATTGGAATGTGCCCATTTTATGCAACCTGAATTCTGTGTACACGTACACATATCTCATTCCTTACGATACAGTTTCAGATTACATGAACTCGTGCATTTTTAAAAACCTTCGTGGTATGTTAAAAACATGTGGCTGGCATTTCCGAACTTCTGTGTCCTTCTCTGCATGACAGAAGTGTCTTCGGAACAGCTTTATGCATTTGATGCAGTACTATCTAAAAGCTCTACCAAGGTGAAGGCTCTGTTTTGATAGATACAATACAAAACCTTACTAAAATTCTCTGGCCGCAGGAGTTGCTAGCCTAAGGAATTATTGATTGGCCTTTGAACTAGAAGTATATATTTTTTTAATGCTTGTGATCCAAAGGCTGCATTGTAGTATTCAGCAGCTGGAAGAACAAAAACAGACATTGTACTTCTCTTTTTATATGTCCTTAGCCACAAAACTGAGTGTTGTTCTTTTAGCATGGTCCCTTGTACTAATCGTGGTTGCTGATGAAAGCCCACAGAGGCAGATTCCTTGATGCATCTTTTTAAAGCTTGACCCTGGGTGCTTAGTTATCCTTCATTCGGTTCTCTTCTGTGCTAGAGCTGTCTGTCTAAGCTTGCAAAGAGGTGGCTACAGCCTATGAACTACTCGATTAATTTCACTAGATACTCATTTCGAAACCAATGATACTTTTAAATATTAACAATTATGTGCTCATCAAATTACTTAAAGTGTCCCACTAAGAAACTCCTACGTAACACAGTTCTCTTTCGGAATAGATGTTTTTAATACCACCTGTCTATGCTGAAGCGAAGGCGCTTACCTTTTTGTTATTTTTAGTGAAGAGATCAGTTTTTACATATCTGCAAAAAATAATTTTTCAGTCTTACCTTTACTTCCAGCCAAGCTCTTGCAAACGTCTATTGTATATGCTAATCAATCTAAAATATTTTAAATATCTCATGAAGTTTTTTAAGGGGGAACTTTTCCAGTTCCTGAAGCATCTACTTGAGATAATGATTTTTTTTCTTCTTCATAGCAACTTGCAAATGGAGATAGAGGCTTTGAGAATGTGGAGCTGGGTGTCATAGGAAAGAAGAAGAAAATTCCAAGGAGGGTTATTCATTTTGCAAGTGGAGAAACAATGGAAGAATATAGCACAGATGAAGAGGAAGATGAACAAGAGAAAAAAGACCTGTTGCCGCCTGTAGATCCTGTAGGTATTTTAGTTGATAAATTGCTACTTCTGATTTACTGGGTAACTACACACATTTTATACTTTAATTTTTGTGTCACAAATCTGATTTGGTATTTAGTATTAAAGATTCCCTTAATTTGATTTGCTCTAGGGGCTGAGAAATCTGTGAGAAGTATTCCTGAGAAGTTTTGTCCTGGAGTCCTCCTCCACTAAAGTAGCTCTATTAATTAGAAACGGGTTTAATTTCTTCACGGTTCTAGTCCATCCTCTGCAGCATTTCCCCTTCTAATAATACTTGCTTGGTGTCTCCTTGATTTGTACTGTCGTTTAAAAAAATGTGCAGGGAAGGCATTTGTTTCCTTATGTTTGGTGACAGTGGAGAGTTGAACCTGTAGTTTAGTGTTACCATACCAGCAATTTGATATAATTAAAAGAGTATAGAAGGGAAAGAAACGGATGACTTGCAGAAATAAAGGAAAACTGGTGTAATTCATGATATATCAAAAACAGGTTTTAAAGGACCTGCGTAGTCCATGTATGTAACGTTCATTTGTCTTGTAAGCTGTTAAGATGTTGCTTGACCTGTGAATGGAGTCTCCCATTTATTGGTCCAAATTCGTGGAGTTTCAACAATTAAAGCTGCCTCCAATAGCATGTATTGTAGCTGCTAAAATACGTTTCCCTTTTTGTCAATGATTCTGGATCTATACTTAGAGGTAAAATGAAATGTATAATCCATTTTGTTCTGTTGCCATGTCCGACAATCCATTTTGTAGTGATAGTGTATTTGCAAAGCTCGCAGCTGTGCGTGCCAGCGCTGGCGACAGCAGCTCCCCACCCTCCGGCAGTCAGTCCCAGAGAAGATCCGCATCCATCTCTTCATCTTTCCACGTCCCCAGTCTCATGTTTCTTTTATGACACCCCACGAACTGGTGTCCCAACCACCTCTTTTCTCTACCCTCCTACAACAATTCTTACCCCAATAAATTGAGTCTGCAGTCCTATTCCCTGCCTGCTGGCGGGACTCCCTTCCTGGCCCTCTCTGGGCTTGGTTGCCTGTACTGAGCTAGAGATGGAGACTCTGAAATTGGCTGGGTCCTTCCTGATGTGATGCGGTGCGGTCAGGCAGCCGGGAGTCATTGCTTTGTGCAGCAGCTAGTCCTGCCTGGTTGCACGCTGGAGGCAGATGCCGGTGTAGAGCTGCTTGTTCCCACGCTTCAGGTAAGAGTCTTCGCATGCACGGAAACCGGCGCCCTGTTTCCTACTTGGCATTGCTGTTAAAATGACTTCTGCACCATCATTTGGGAATCCATGATTAAGAAGTGTTGTGGTTGAAGCTCTCTATTTACTGTACAGTAGTAGGCCCTGTATTTATTTATATGCAGATCCATCCTGGGAGAGCTTGGCTGTGTTGAAGGGACTGCAGTGAAGAGTTTGACTTTCTGCTCATTCTCTTCTGAAGAAGTGATGAACCGTAAGGGGTTTGCTTTGGGAAGGACTGTCAATCAGTTCTTTTTTTTCTCCCTCTGTAAAATGAATTTATCTTGAAGAAAAAAAGAAGTGGTTTGAGGACTGAACTGCAGTGAGACTATGGGAATTCAGCTGGGATCGGGGTTCCTACATTCACAGGTGAAGCTGTTGCATTTCATCTTGGATAGATTGATGGTACTGCTATCTCTTTCTTGCTAGGCAGTTCTTGTATACAACGAAAAGTAACAGTCTGAGAGCAGGTAGGATATCATCAGTATAAAATACACCTGAAGATTATAGATTGAAAAAAAAATGTATTATACTCACAAACAATGAGTAGATGTTAAGCTGCCTTGCTGGGTGTTGGAGTTTTTTTTCCTCCCTAAGGATCTTCTTGAAGAAATGCAAGAACTGTGAAACTTACTGAATATTATGGTAATGTTCAGGTAGCTTCAGAGTCAGATCTGTTCCCCACTATGCAGGTCATGTCAGATATCCATGGATGTGTAAGAGATTTTTTCCCAACTATAATTAGCAGGGGACCAGATCTGTGTAATTTTTTGTGCCATTTCCTCTCAGTAGAGGAGTTCCACTGTGGTGCAGCGATGGAAGGCTCACGAGCCTTGATGTACGTGTTGTGAGGCCAGAGACGTGCATGCTGCTGTACAAACAGACACTTAACTAAAGAGCCCTCAAATGTGCACAACAGCCGGGAATGCTGTGTGATCGTTCTCCTGCTTTCCTAGTACGGATTTTTTTTCTGAATACCAAAAAATATGTTGTATGGCACAGTTAAGATTGCTTTGTTCTCCTTTTATAGTTTATGAAATCCTTAATTTTTATCACACTTTTTAATAAAAGGACCCCTCAAACCAGAATAGTTTATTGTTGAGCACAGTATGCCTTATTATGTATTGCTTTTTACCTTGACAGAATAAACTTGATTAGACCAAGGGTTGCCATTAAGTGAAGTTTACCTTATCTGCTGCATGCTTCGTGTATCCCAGCTGAGCCAGTCAATTGAAGAAATGTTAGTCCAAGCTGAGCTTTGATGTTTTAGCCAACAGCTGCCTTAAAAATACTTTTATTGTAGGATTTCTATAAAAGCAATTAAATAGTCAGTTTGCTGAGACCAGCATGTCTACAACTTGTTATCTCAGTTGGGATATGAAAAAGTATGTTGCAAGTAATAGCTGTTTCTGGTCCAATTGATTTTTAGAAAAAGCACATTTAATATTTTGAATAGAAACTTTGCATCATGAAATTTCAAAGCTCAGCTGGTATTGGTATCCTGGCAGCTTCTGAATGAGTTTAAGGGAAACAAATATTTTGCCGTGTTGTAAAGAAATGTCTTCAGTAAGTACCTTGGTTTAATTGTGTTTTAGAGCTAAGCAGACAACGACAATGTCTTTTCTTACTAAGCAAAGTAACATGTATATATCCTGGTAATATGATAACCAAAGCACTCAGTGTGACGGACTGCTGCCACTCATAACAAAGCAAATTCTCAGAAATAGCTGGGTCTTAAATTTTGCTTTGAAACAATGATTCTGATACTTCTATAGGTCAGCACTCAGTTAATTAACATTCTTGGACTGGAACGTCCATTCTGTTGTGGTTTGTTTTTTTTTAAGAACGAGTTGAGTCTGAGTATTATCTGAGTGTTCTCAAGTTAAATTTTAAATGCTTTAATAACATAAATGCTTTAATTTTAACTGAGTCTTCTATTCTGTCCTAAAATTTGGATGCTTACACTTTACATGTAAATCTCCTTTTGCTTCTGTCCACCAAAACTTTATTTTGTAGTAATTAAACTTCTCTGACCTGTTCCAGAAGATAACCTTTCTGTTTATCCCTGGGGGGCCACTTGCCATAAACTCTTTGTTGCATTCACCTATTACATGAGTAGGCAGAAGGTGGAGTGTAAGTCTTTGCAGAACAACTGTAAGCCGTATAACTGTTGGTGATAACCTTAGAATTCATCCTGAGAACATCTCTGCAACAAAGCTCCAGAAGAGATTTAATTTTATTAACCTTCAGTGCTTAGAAAGGTTGAAAGACATTCTTGCAGGAAGATTATCTTGATATCCTGTAGTTAAAAGGAGCTTAACTTCAAATAGCAAAAAGTCCTCTCTTGAGGACCATTGAACTCTAATTTTCTTTTAAGAATTTGGGGATGAGGGAGAAAAATAGTCACTGACCAAGTAATAGCTACTCATAATATGGTAGAAGCTTTTTGATGGAGGGTGGTGTGTGTGTTTCTGATCTTGTTTTCACTGGCTTGTCTTAGATGCCACAGTTCTACATGGTGCATACGCTGAAGGAACTATTATAGCAATTACCAGTCAATAGTTAAACTAATTTAAAATGCATCTTGGCACAGTAAACAATGGAAAAATATCTATTTGGTGGTGTATATTAACTCTTAAACACAGGATTTGTTTTTTCTTAAATCGGGAAATGATTCTTTTCCTTATTTTGCCATTTTCTCTGGCAAAAAAGAAACCCTTTGTTCTTTGGAAAGTTCAAGTGTTATTAGGGACTGAAATCTGGCAAAAATAAATATAGACGTGGATTGTTTAGGAACATGGTGCACTCAGAAGTTCAAGGGAGCGCGTGTGCTCCTTTCGGCAGTCCCATACTGGGAAACAAAATCATGTTCTGTTGTTGGACCAGAGCCCTCCTGGTTTTATCAATGGTTGAATCCACTATGTTCATTTCTCCTTAAAATGCAGCACTTGGATTAAAATTGTACATTAAGAATTTTTGTAATTTAAAAACCAGTTGCCATAACCATGGTGTTTTCCATTTTAAACAACAAAATAAAGTCAGGATAGCTGAATAGTATAATTAAGCGTTGTAGAAATGTATACTAAAGAGGCTGATGGCAGGAGAAATACTGTCCCCTTATAATAAACCAGTGTCCTGTGTTTCATACTGCTGCCCCTTGTTTCCAGTCAAGAAATAAAGTATTATTGTGTCCTTGCGTTGATTAAAGACCGAACATTAAGGCTTCTCTAGCCAAAGGAGGTTGACATACAGTATCTGGGTATGTGGTTCTTACTGAACATTAGTAGGACTTGACTTGGGTACCATTTTCCAGTATCGCTCAATGCATTAAAGCTACTTCATGGAGTAGGGTTAGTTTGTACTGAGCCGTTGCCTAATGGCCCTGTTCATATCACCTGAATGGTTCTGGTTTTCTCCAGTACCTCTTCTTACCTCAATTCCTGCTTCAGGCTCCCAGGTGCTCAGGGAAACCACCCAAACTTACCCTGAGGAAGTAAGGGGAGGGGGTGGAAGGAGGATTATTCCTTGGATGTGTTCCCTTGTTCCTGGTTGTTCTCGGTGGCTTACTCTCCAAGGCATCTCCTTTCTCCTGTTGAATTTGTGTGAAGTCGCTTCTCTCATGGTTTTATATTGCCTTTTGAGACACTTGAAAGAATGCTCCTTTTTTAAATTGAGGGGACTGGCAAAGCCTTGCTTGGCGGGGGTAAAGAAGTGTCTGGTTGGGCTTTGTCAGAAAGCAGAGGTTTCCATCAAGCTGAACTCAGAAGTGCTCCTAACATACCAAACTGTTTTTTAGTGGTGGTTGGGGAACAGTAGAAATAGACAGAACCTCTCTGTCTGCAGAGCCTCAGATCTTCCCTATGTTTGTGTTACCGCAAACACGTTAGAATATTCTGTGTCTGAGTTAGTTCTGTCACATTGAAGTTCAGCCTGTCTTTTCGCTCTTAGATGTTAAGGGGGCTCTTGTAGCTTCTTGCTTACAGCCGCGCAGCAGGCCCCTGTTTGTCCTGCGCACTGTGTGAATGCTCTTTAACCTTGTTCACCTCGTTATGAAGGATTGTACAGAGCCTCATCAATGCCATTATTTGCACCTGTGGCAACAAGCTTTTCCAGTACTTTTCTTGACTTCTTCAACTGAATAAACTCTGAAATGATTGTTGTTAGCCTGTCTGCCAACTGAGCACGTAATCAACAAGCTGGAGGTGCTTTTGTGCAAGCAGGATAGCAGCTGGTTTTGCTTACACTCTTACCTTGGCAGGACATTTTCCATACCCACTGCCAAAAATATATAGCATCTGGCTTTTTTCAGCCTGCCCAACTTGAGTTTCTGGCTTGACAGATGAATTCTTGCTGCACTGATTTGTAGAGGCTATGCTTGGAAAGCGCTGAAGTCTAGTAGCTTGTGTGTGTGTGCGTACTGAGGCTATACCAACTAGTCTCTGTAGCTGTATTATTTACAGTAATACTGATTGTCCTGTACAGATATCTATTAAATAAGATCACAGAAAATGGTTGCTATCAAACCGTTTTTAGCAGCACGTTATAAATACATAATGTAACTGAGTGGAGCTAATGGGTTTCATTTAATAAAAGCTGACACTTTTAATTGCTACTTTCCACATGGAGAGTACCGCTACAGAGATCTTTACTGGGGGAAAATACATAACAAAAAGCTTGCCTGAATACAACAGACTGTTAACTATAAACATGTTTTAGTTCACTATGAAATTTGAGTTTGCCTTTTCACAAAAGCGAGAGCCTACAGCTTTTTCCCAGTTAGATTGGAATCTGCTTTTCCCCTTCTCCTTCTTATTACATGGCTCGTTGTTTGTTTTGCCTTTTTTTTTTTAAAGAGGTATAGCCTCTTTCCTTAGTGAAGAGGATAATCTATGTATGCCCATTAATTTCTAAATTTTCTTTAAGTTCCTATGTGTAAGTATCTCCATTTGTCTGGAGGCTGCAGTACTTCCTCCGTGGTGGTGAATACACCATAGTTGTGCAAAGGGCGACTCCCCCTCCTTGTCTTCCCGGCCTGTCCTTCCTAAAGAGTCTGTATCCCTCCATTGCAGCACTCCAGTCATGCGAGCCGTCCACTGCATCTCTGGGATCCCAACAAGATCCCAGCCCTGCAGCTGCAGACAGATCTCTCATTCCTCGTGTTTACTTCCCACACTGCATGCCTTAGTGTGCAGGCGCTTCAGGGAGACTTTCTCACCTACGTGCAAATGCTTGAGGTGACCCCACTTGATCCCTATTTTGTTCATTTTGTGTTCCTCGCTGTTCACATCACCCCAGGCCCTTTACTTGTCAGCCCTGTTCATCGCTCCCTCAGAGGGCTGCGGTAACTCCTTCCCTCATCGTTCCTGGTTTTGTTCTTCAGGTGCAATTCCAAATGACAATTTGTATCTGGTTGTAAATACTTGGAAGCAGCCTCTTGCTCAGGGACTGCTTGAAGGTGTGGTTTGGTTTTAAACAGTCTTTTGCAGTTCTCTCATCATTGTAATGAGGGATTACTTGGTTAACCCACTTAACTTCTTGGCCTGATGGAATTCAGAACATTATGGAAAGGTCTTTCTAGTTACAGAAGTTACCTTGGAATTGAGTTGGATGCCTGTCATTTCCCAAGTCTGGGAGTGGGAAACAAAAACCAGTGAAACAAACGTTCCAGATAGATGTAAACTGTAGTTATATCTTACGGTGATACCTTGCTTCATGTATGGCTGGTCTAGACTTATTTTAAAGCAAAAATATTGTGGTAGCTGGCAAACAGGAAACATTGCAGATCTTTCTTCTCAATCTGTTTGAGCTTTTGCATGTCTTATTATGTGTCATGAACATACAGCTGTACGTATTCATACTACTCTTGTTCTTACAGACAACGCTCACATGGGGACCCTACTTGTGGTTTCACATGCTGCGAGTTGCCACATCAACCTTATCAGGTATTGCTTTATTTAATTCTTGGGTAAACCGGTAATGGAGTATTGCAAGTCACTCTGACAGACTGTAAATCATCTTTGTGAGCTACTGGCCATTTTTTCAAAAGTACGAATGAACCTGTATTTTAATCTGTGGAGACGTATACTCTTGCCTTAGGCACTTTGGTTTTTTTACTTTCAATCAACAACTCTTGAATGGAAGAACAAACAGAAAATACCCTTTTACTGAACACTTTTTTCCCCCCTTTTTCTCCAGATGGAGATAGGGTGCTATCGGCAAGGGAGTATATTGGCTTTCTGTTAGGTTTTGTATGGAACCGTTTTGTGTGATGTTATCTGACAAGAATGCTGTTTGGAGTAACTAAACTGACAGTTTTTATGAAGAAGACAACTAGAAATTATCCCAAGAACACATCTAGTCCTGTGCTTTGCAACAGACTTCTGAGGTTACAAACCAAACAAAAGTAAGACTATTGCCAAGAGTCTTAAACTCACTGTACAGAAGTTTGTTTGACCTGTGGACCTCTTATTAAAATTTTTCGAAGTTTTAAAAATGCTTGTCCTAGTCTGTGTTCTTCCCAAGGTGTAAAGTATCTTTATTGGGTTTTTCTGACAAATATTGTGGAGTTTCTGTCCTTGTACACCTAATTTTGAATATTTCTAAAAACTATCGGCAGTCTATTAATTAACCTATCCTTATTTTTAGAAACACTTTTTCTCTAATGTACAGCATAATTCCATCCCTTGTCATATCTGTTCTTCATACAGAAAAGTAGATACTGCTTTTCTTTTTTTAGCAGTCTTCTATGAATTTGAAGATTAGTACTTCCTTCTTCCCACTTCAGTTTTGCCTCTTACATTTGTAATTTGAACTGGTCTTTTGCACAGAGCTTTGGATGCCAGGATATCTATAAAATTAGTTATTGTGAATATTCATTGAAGCAGTCAGTTGCTAACTTCTAACTTGTTTTCCCTGAAGATGACTAACTCATTTGCATCCTCAGGGCAGATTTGCAATTTGAAGTGCAATATATTTGACTGCTTGCTTGCCTTTACTCAAGAACCAGTGCTGTAGCCATCATCATGATAAAGAGACTGGCTGACATAAGCCCACCTGTTTCATACTTCTGACCGTGCACTACCTGTTTTAGCAAAGTAGCGCTGCACGTGGCCTCCAGCTTGAAAATTGAGACAGCTGAAACCTAAATATTTTATTAATCCATTAGTATGCAACACAGAACATCATTGTTAAAACTGCTACTGACTTGAGGTACGCATATATCAATAAGTAACTCTCTAGTTTGCTGGTACCATTAGACTGAAGTGCCGATACAGCTGGTTGCCATGTGTTTTTGTCTAACCTTAAGTTTCAGTTAAAGTTCAGTTAAAGGCTTATCCTTTAACTGATCCCCTAGCAAAGCAAACCTACATCCAAAGCTGAAACTAGTAGAATTCAAACACTACCACCATCTAGATTCTCATTAATTTCCATGTTCTTCTCCTTCTGTTCATTCTTTATCTTAAAGAACAATTATTAGTATATTGAGCTAATAATTACGTGTAAGTAGATTAGCCTAGCAGATTTTGGTTTTGTCTTTTGAGTGAAGTAGGACTATGGAAAACCATTCAGGAAAGATGATGATACCTTTTAAAATAAAACTTAAAAATTTCCTTCTAGATACTAATCGTATGAAAACTTCTCTTTATATTTTAGTGTGTGATTTCCTTGGGGAAAAGATTGCATCTGTTCTGGGGATAAGCACACCAAAATACCAATATGCCATTGATGAGTATTACAGAATGAAGAGAGAGGTATGTGTGTGAAATAGGGTTCTTGCACTCCTTTTCTCCCAACTTGCCTTCCCTGGTATTCTAAAAAATGAAATTTGTATTCCAGCATTAAAATGAAGTTTTGGAACCTCTGTTTCAGCTTGCCTTCAGTTTTCATTTGACGCACAATTAATGCTCGCTTATCCATCAGCCTTTTCGCACCAGCTCATCAGTCCTAGAACTGGCTGGTCCTGGCCACTGCTCTATTTGTTTCTCTTGTGCAATGCATTTTCAAGTCAACAGCGTGAGAAAGTTGGACGGAGCAGTTACTGGACACCGTATGTAAAGAGGCGGCTGCTAGGAATATACTTTCCAACTCTAAAACTTGTTCAATGAAGGGTCAAGGGTAAATTGAACATGATGTTACCATTTGTTCTACACCATAACTGGAAATGACTGATAGGTAGCCAGTGCTTTATGCAAAAAAACCCTTAATAATCTTCATTTGGAAGAGATTGGAAACATATTTAAAGCTTTACTACCTATTTTTTATTTTTCATAGGTCTTTATTATTAAGAGCAGAAAAAGCTTTAGAGAAGGTAGACCTATCAATCATTATTGCTATTGACTAAAAACTGCTTATCTAGACATGTGACATGTTTTCTGTGTTTATTTAACACAGTCGAATCCTTCACTTTTGGTGATTTTTTTTTTCTCCATAATGGGAATTCTGGAATATACCTCATCTTATGATCAACTAGTGACCGTTTTCTAGTGGAACAAATGTCCTTGCCTTGTAATAGGAACTGCTGTGCTCTTATGGAAAGACGTAAAGTGAATGTAAGTAAGTAAGCGGTAAATAGTAGCTTACGAATCTGGTTATCTATTTTTAGGAGGAAGAGGAGGAACAGGAAAACAAGATGTCAGAAGAAGCAGAAAGACAGCATCAGGAACAGCAGAACAAGCCACAAGCTGAAGCTCCTGTCCAGACAGACCAGCCTGAAGCAACAGCATGCACTTCATTCGTGAACGTAAACTTTGAAAATGAGGGGGATTGCCAGTCCGTTGGGGAAAGTAAACAAGATGTAGTTCCTGTCCCTCCTTAAGTGTAAAGCTCTGTATAATGTAGGAAATAGGAAGTGGCAGGTGTCACAATCTGGCTGTAAGAAGCAGGAAAAATAGGATTATACTTGTTCAGTGAAATACAACTTCTAGCATTCTTATTGATCAGGAGAGAGCTAGGCGATGTCTGTTCAGTCTGTCTGCCTAATAAAGGCTGAGGCATTCTGCCAAATTGGCACTTCAGTTAAAATGAAAATTGCACTACAAACATTCGGTCGAAAATTGAATGTGTGAGCTAATTTCTGTGTAAAGCAAGTAAAAATGTCTTTTCTTTGCATTGCTGTGTCTCTAACACCTGTGGATTGCAGATGCAGTGCTGTTTCCTACTTCTAAACTGATTTGCACATTGTTTGCAACTCGGCTCTCTATGAATAGATTAATAGGAATCAATGTCCTGTAACTCACAAGTCATTATAATAGCGTCCGATTTCCCCTATTTATTGTCAGTGTTGTATGCATGTATTTTTTTCTGTTGTTGTTTAACACAAGAGATAACGTTAGATTTAATGTTAATTAGATTTAAGGGTCCACTGACTTTTTTTTAATTTAAAAAAAAATTTGAAGGAGGCTGTAAACACCCTTAAGAGCTTACTAACAAGTACCAGCACTCTTGGAGGCTAATAGTGCTCAGCTGCTCCATTCAGTGCTGTAGCAAAGTACAGAACTAGTACCAGTGTAAGATGTTCTCGCTCCAAGTCCAAGAATTGAGACCCACCTGCTTGCATACTTTACATGCTCTGAATGGTCCTGGGAAATACCTACAGTCTTGCTCCATTATACTCAATGCGCTGGACACTCTGTATGGTACCAACAGAGAATGTGAAAACTCTTTGGACAGGGATTACCTGAGTCGGTGTACTTGATTAACCTAAACAGACTATTTGTTTAATAGTTACCAGTAAGGGATGTGCCATTGCAGGTGTTTTTCTCCCCTCTAGCACAGAATACATAAATAACTAGAAATCACAAAACCAAACTTAAAATTCTTCCTTTTTCTTAAACAAAATACTGCAGCAACAGTAATTTTTATTTTTGTCTAAGTAAGTGAAACACAGGTAGCTCCAGAGCTTTTAAGTAGCTCCAAATACCAATTAAGGCTGTTTTACTGCAATGACTGTTGTTCTACTTGTAGCTTGTAAAAGGCGAGTGGTTTACTTTGCGACAATCAGTCAGATGTCAGCGCCCCAGTTGCTTTCTATAGAGAATCATTTTAGATAAAGGAGCAGAGAACCTCCACTAGTTACCGTGTGAAACATTACTTCTGTCCTTGAGATTTCTAAAATAAATTAAAAAATAGCCTTCAGTGAAATTTTGTGTTGGGTATCATCATATGCCCCGGCCTCGGTCCCACCACCAACTAAGGAGCCTGATGTAACATCAGAGGCCAGGTAACTTGGCTGTTAGTTTCCAGGGTGCAGTTACGTATTTCAGACAACCTGCTGCCTGAACTAGTGTCCTGTAGAGCACAAATGCCTTCTCCTCACATCTGCCCTTAGCATTCCAGCACTACAGAAAAACTTCTGAGGAGGATTCAATCAGCTCTAGTCCATCTGTTTTGATACTCTGTTCTTTGCCTCTTTTTGAATTGTAAGATGGAGGGTGCCGACAGCTGTGTAAAATCATTCCTTACAAGGGAGAGCTTGGTTCGAACGCCTGGGGAATACACAGAAAAACAGCTTGTTGGGAGTTCTTCTACTGTCAAAGATCGAAAGCCTCACATCGCTCAAGAGTAAAACCTTTACAGCTGAAGGATGCTTTGCTTTTCTGCCAAGAAATTAATGTCAGTTGCGTTGGTTTCTTTCCTCCTCTCCCTACTATCTCTTGCATCAGAAATGCTCTCACTGCCTTGGGTTTAAACTTCTTTGTATAAAATACTGTATTACTCACTGTGCCTTAACTTAATCCTTCCTTCAGTTTTTTGCAAACTGAAAGTGGTTACTTTCATAATGGGTTAATTTTTCTGTAAATGCATTAATTGGTTATTTTATATTTAATATAATTTTTGAACTGGAAGTTGGCTGTGGCTTTTCCTTTAAAACTGTGTGGTCTTTGCAACTTTATGCCTGCCCACAGGAGCATGTGCTGTTCACTGTCTTCATCTTTACTGAATCACACATCCTGGTGGAACATTCAAGCACTGAAACTACCCCTTCCTTACAATCTCATGAAGTAGCTGTTAATGTACTCAGCGTGTTCAGCACTACCTCAAACTAATAAATAATGCAGGATTGCAACCACCTCTGGCCTGGAGCTATTGTAATTTTATCTGAAAGTTGCAACATTTCTACAGCTCTGTTAAAAGAGTTTCACTGCTTTAACTACTGCTGTAGCTCAGCTGTACGATTAAGTTAAATTATATAAAATACTTGCCCAGGAGGTTAAGTTGGTGAAAGCCTTTATACAGGTGTTTGGATTAGTTTTAACTAGACCTAAAGCTATAGTGCAGTTTTACTTCTGTTAATGAAGCTCTTAAGAATTAGGTAACTATTCAGTCAGTTCAATAGTTAGTTACTTACCCTTTCTGTTAGACACTTAAAGCTGGACACACATAGAAGGAAAAGGCCTAACCTCTTCACCTCTTACTAAAGACTTTTGCCTTTACAGCAGAACACTCAACAGCGCTATCGTTAGAGGAAGACGCACAGAAAGCAGTGGGAGGCTTGGGATGGCTGAGGGGATACAGGCCAGAGCTGAAGATACCGAGAACCACATCCTTACTTTCAGGGTAAATTCACATTTAGAATAGGGTATTCAAGTAAGAATAGGGCTTGGTACACAGGGAAAAAGTCCAAAAATATTTATTTTAAAAAAAAAATTTTACCTTCTAAACAGCACTTGCTTTTTTTGGTTTCAGAAATCAGTTCTGCGATTCCTGTATGTACCACATTTTATATTATATGGGGGGGTGAGGGGGGAAGGGAGGGGGAATAAATGGAAGAGGCATTGATGCAGATGACAAATGTTTCCAGCTTCCAACAGTTGGTGCATCAGATTGAGATATCTCTATGGATACAGTCTGCTCCTGTTCAAAGTCACGTATCATCAACATCAGCAGTGTTGTCATTATCACTTGCCACAAGGACCTCTCTGTTCTCGTACGTCCAGAACCCATTCAGATCGATCAGAATGCTGGTAACAGTGTCTCCTTGACTGCTATTGATTAAGTCTTGAAGGGAGATTTTGTAAGGATCCTTAGGCTTCACCATATCAAAGATTTCATCCTATGAAAGAAAAGTCAAAATTGGGGAAAATAACCCACACGCATTGATGAGCAGAATAACGGCTACTTTATACTATATACAGAATGATCTTTGGGTAACTAGTGCCACCCACACCCATCCACAAAAAAAAAGCGCTGTTAAGTCCCAAACCATTTAAGATACAAAGCACAATAATTGGCTACAGATAGGAGCAGTGTGCTCAGCTCCCACATCTCAAATAAGAATTTGCTTTTCTGGGGAGGCTTTGGCCTCGAAGTGGCAACACGAAACTCAGCTTGCTTGCATGAGCTAAGTTTTATAGAAGCTCTTGCACTTTTTTTTTTAAAGTACTAAAACTGCTAAATGTAAAGGAGGCAGTAATAAAGAGTTTTAAAGACTCTTTAGGTTTTTTTAGTCACCAGTCCGCCCCCACCCCAAGGGATGATCCTGAACCATAAAAAAATAGACATACCAAGTATCTTTAAGTGTAAGGCACAGCAACATGTATTTAACAGGTACTTTGTCTATTAGTAAGCAAACTATTCGAACAGTTGCATACCAGATAGCAATTGCTGAATAGAAAGACATTTTCAAACCTATGAGTAGGACAAGTCAGATCATCTCTACTGCTCTGCAAGTAAATATACAACAACCTAGAAACTACAATACAACATAAGTAAATTATGAAATGCTTATTCAAATATTTCACATAGTACTCTATTCAGTAAAACTAACCTTGACATCCTGAAAAGAAACTGGTTCTTGCCCATGGATTTTCATTTGTTCCTGAATAGCCTAGAAAAAAAAAGTTAGGAATAGGTAGTGCAGTATTATACTGACACCGTATGAAACTTTTTTAATGCTTCTGCATCTTAAGCTGTATCGCCCTGTAACAAAGCATTCATGGTACAGCTTGTAATCAATTCTCTTCCACAAGTGAGGCAGGGGTGAGTTAAGGCATAATGAATGATACGCATCTCTAGGTTCACAGTTCTTAGTCAATATGGTAAGAATCCAACTTTCATTATGACCAGAGTTTGAGCACTCTGCAAATGGGATATGCAGACACCTGAATATTATCACTCAACACTCAAAGCTTAAGGTAGTAATACACCCAAACCAGAAGGTTCAGTTTTCTTTC